CTTGTAAAATGATCAAAGTGAGGATAATGTTGCAGCGTGTAGCCTCACGTTAGGTATTGCAGCCTTCAGCAATATCATTAATTCATTTTACTTCAGTCACAGATGCCGACACCCTCGTTTTAATAAAGGCCATGATGAAGCTGGATGACCTCTACAGTAAATGTGATGTATTATTTCAGTGTCTCCCACACACTGATTTATTTGTGATGGCCGGCCACATTATCAACGCTGACCACCACATATTGATTTTCGATTATTATTCTTTTTTACTATTTATAAGTGGTAACATCTATCTGATTACAGAGCTGCGCACAGCGTACATATTCCCTCAGCACCTCCTCTCGCTCGGTCGCTCTCCCTCTCTCTTTCTCTCGCCTATGGATTCTCTGAGCCCCGCGGTCCTCTTGTCCTGAGTCCTTATGAATTATCCTTCACATCTTTCCTTGAAATCATGACGTTTTCCATCAAGGTCAAGGAAACATGGTTATAAAAGGAGATTTTTTTACTTTTGGGTTAGGGGTATTAATCTATGTCGATGGTTCTCCCTGTGTTGTCCAACGACTCCATAGTTTAGGATACAGAGCTAAAGGCAAGACAAGGGCCAGCACATGTCGCTCTGGGCTCTCCTGGCAGTGTGGAGAAAGGAGCATTTGAGTCTGTTAAGTTTTGGCATTGAGCTGTGATGGTTAGGTTTAGGAGAAACCCGTCAGTAAGGGGAAAGATCCCATGAGTGCTCCTAAGATGAGCATACTGGAGGCCAGGAAGGAATCAGGCACTTATTTTATTATTTTATTATTACCAGATTTCGCTATTAACCTCCCTTTGAAATGTCACAGTTAATTAATTGTACAGGCTCCACTACACCGAAATGAAACTGTTGCAACTTGCACAAAACGAACGGCTGAAGTCGGCAGTGTGGGAGAATACAGACTGACCAAGGCGTTATTTAAGAGGTGACTGATTACCTGTTCAAAAACATGGCATTAAAAGGAGCGAATAACTACATTAAACTTGATGAGGCACCTGCGGGGTCTCCACCCAGCTTTGCACGCCTAAGTAATGTAATACGAACTGAGTTAAATAACGTGGCAAGTTATAGGGAATTAAATATAAACGTGTCACTGTGTGGAGAAAATGTTTCCAGAGGGCTGTTTCACAAAACCAAGACAGCGGATTAAACCAGGGTTTTCCAGATATCCTGGCTGAATTAAGCCCTGATTCGGTTTCAGGAAAGCAGTAGCACATAAGTTACCATGGCGATTTATCCTGTGCAGCTAGCCTGCTCCAGACCAGGCCAACAGCCAGGCAGTGTTGCCAGATTGGGCGGGTACCACGGCTTTCGGGGAGGGGATTCTTACCGCTGAATCATTAATAGCTGCAAGCATAGGCCTGGGCTGACTGTGAAAATATCAGGCATGTTTGTCTTATTATTATAATTATACAAATATAATGATTCATATTATCATATGTAGCCATTTTGCTGCAATACGCTTCACACAGCAGCTGTTTGCGACCTGTCCTTTCTTTTCTCCGTGAGAGGGAACATTTTTAAAAGTTGCATGGCGCTGCAGAGAGCCCCCAGCTGCAGTAGTGCGTAATATTCATCCAGCCAGACGAACGATCACGAACCGTTGACAGCGCGTCGGCCGTACTAGCGACACAACCCGAATACCGGAGACCGAGCGGAGCGGACAGGGCGACCGGCCCGCTGCTGACGGTCAGTGATCGTTCTCTCTGGCTGAGTCTGACGCTCCTTTACGCACGGATGGATAGAGAAATATAGAAATGAATGGCCATAAAGCATGCTGTCAATATTTTACAGACCCCCCCAAATATCACAAATCGTGCTTTTAGGGGAGCTGATGTCCTCTTTAGGGTCCCTGGATCCCCCGTAGTTCACACCCTGGAGGGTATCTGACTTGGAAAAATACAGGAGGCCGCCTTACAAACGAGTGTGTGGAGGATATAGTCGTTTCACCGCAAGGTTTTGATGCTGTCATTAAAACCTTACACTCCAGTCCAGCAGGTGGCGCTAATGCACCTAAAACAGTTTATTTATGTAGGCCTATGCTTTGGCTGCCAGTGTGTATTTCTTGTATATAAAGTATGTAGGCTATGTAAATGTAATGTAACCGTAGGTAAGGACACGTGGAAGTTAAAATACTGAAATAAATACTGAGAACATATTTCGGGCGGTTTTGTGTGCGGTTTGGCGGTTTTTGAACAGTTTTTGGGCTGGAATTCATGAGCAGGATCTGGCAACACTGCAGCCAGGCTTAGTTAATCCTGGTCCCTTATCTATCAAAGTGTTTTTTTCAGTTATGCCATGTTCTTATGTATGTGTTTTGCATATTTTTCATTAGCCTGCATTAAAATAGCAGTTTGTGGTTATTAGGTTTCATAACTGGAGAAGATGCGTGCACCATACTTTGTAGACAAAGAGCATCAGCGAGGAATAAAAGCACATGTGAAGAAAAATGATAAATAAAAGAAAAAGTAACACAGATACAGCAATAAAACAGCGAGAGAAAGTGTGGCCGCCTATAGTGGACCGACTGAATGTGTGAGAAGCTAAAAATATCACTGCTCTTTACTGAAACTGTCAGAATTGTAATGTTATATTGAGCCTTAAGAGTGAACACCGGACGTAAATAAATGGCACACACACTATGTAAGAGATAACCTACACTGTAAAAAAATAAATCGTAAAATTACGGTAAAAAGTCTGGCAGCAAAGTTGCCAAACACTTACTGTCAAATTACAGTAAAAAACCTTCAATTATTTTACAGAAAAATTTAGTTTTTTGAAAACGAATATTTCGTAACAACATTTTCTGTATTTTTCAGTCGAACTGCTGTTAAAGAAAAAAATCTCATTAAAAAATTCTCTGTTGAATGTTAATCTGTATAAAAACCTAAAAATATTGCAGAAATACCTTAAAATTATATAAAAAGAAGACTGCTGTTTTAATACAGTATTATTTGATATATTTTTAAGATAATCCAATCCATCTACAAGAACTCCTTGTCAAAGTAAAGACTTTTCTATGTAAAGCAAACAGAAAATGTTGTAAATACCTTCAGATACCCTAATTTAAAGCCCAATACCAGAATATTAATAGATTTAAACTTTTATTTTATGCCATTATCCAATCAATTTACAGTAAATTCCTGTTAAATATTGGTTTTAAAAAACCAAGATCATGTGATATTAAGTTACAGAAACATAATTTTAACAGTTATTGCTTTATAACGATAAATGCCCAAGAAGTTCTGCTAAGTGAGGGAGGATCTGATGTGGGAGAGATAGCGGCAGCACCGGTGTGTCTGTCTGTGAGTGAGAGAGAGAAAAAGAGAGAGTTTATTTATTCTCATAGCTAGGCTAACTAAAGGCTCCTGCAGACTACACGGCTTTCAGCGTCGGGCGATGGTCGTGCTGTTCAGACTGCACAACTTGCCGTCTTGAAGTCGTCGTGGCGTTCACACTACGTGACTGATCGGTGACAGGGGGTCACACACTACACGAGCTGACAGCGGTGTGTCACCCGACGCTGGTCTCCAAACCAGGTTTTGTCAAGAAAACACACATGAAATGTGAAACGTGACACAAACATACAAAACAGCTGTTGTTTGTTATTTTAAAGATAGAAATTATAAAGAGAAATAATCTGGGTGAAAGGATGGATCAGCACACGCAGGTAGCAGGAAACGTCTGAGCTACAGAGAGCTGGAGGGGAGTAAAAAGTGTTTTGCGGTGTAAAAGTAGCTGCCTGCTCTCATTGGCTGGATGTGGATGTCGAGTCGGCCGACTCCTCCAGATATTTGGATGCTAGATATCTGACTGGCCTTGGCGATGTGTCAGAAATGTGTCGGGGAGCCGTTTTTATGCGTCGAGTAGTTCACAATAACGACTGGCGACCGTGGATCGATCGCTGATTTACCCCTGATTACAGCCTGACGGTCGCCGAGCTCGCTGACCAGCAAATCAGGCTTAAAATGGTATAGTGTGAACTGGGCTTCAGTGATTATAACAAACTTAACTTTGTTATGGCAAGACTAGCAGACCCAAGTGCAGGTCTAAGAAAGGGAGAAGTTCGATAAAAGAGAAATAGGCTATTTATTACAAGGTTAAAAGGATCATATATTGCAGGTGAAGAACGAGGCAGAGTGAAAATAGATGCTGAACCGGGTTGGTGGCTGCTGTACAGAGCAGGGGGAACCGTAGCTGAGAGTCCAGAGTGAGAGAATCTGATCCGAGCAGGTTCAGAGCAGAATCCGGGAAACATTTTAAAATGTAAGAAATGTGACTGTTTTCATATGTAATGAAATTTAGCAATTGTAAAATTAATAAACGCCATAACTTCCACACTACTGCTGTCATCACTCAGTTTAAAGGGCTCCGTCACAGCTGGGCGCTTCCTTTTGTTTTCCCTTTGATGTGGACTGGAGCGTTACGTTCACTGCTGTCAGCTGAGGTCAGGCACGCGAAAAAACGAGCCAACCCGCGGGAGGAGCGTGTGAGGCCGGCCAGCCGCCCGCTCACAGAGCCCTCTGCTCCCGCCGTCACACAGACCGCTGCAGCAACAACGCAGAGGAAAACACAGCTGGAAGGTTTTCATACCGCTTATCTGTCTTTACATTCTGACGAAGGTTGAAACGTTTTAACTTAAAGAGACAGCTGTTTGTGGGTCGCTGGTGTGTGTGTCCCATTGAACATTATGTCGTGGCAGTTGTGTGTGGCGTCGCTATGCCGACCAGCTACATGGAGGGGTAATATTTCTGGGTACTATCTGCAATGGAAGACGAAGCACAGCCAAACCGAGTTGAGCTGGTACTGGTGATGGAAAAACGCCATAAAAGTCACCCAGGAAATCATTGTTTAAAGTTCTGTTCATGCTCAACATCTAGAAACCGCCCATAGGCTTAAAACACGGTCAAGTCCTTCAAGTCAAAAACAATAGAAGCTAATTTCTTTCCAGTAACAAACAAACAAGGTCATATATAGTATCATATCAGTATTAATATACAGATGTGAAGATGCACGCTAAAAAAGTTCATTTGGCAGATTGATATTCACCCACGTCCTTTCAGAACTCCAACGATGGCTATGATCCTCTGCAGTGGCTCTCACCAGGCCTTGTCCTGAAAAATAGATAAGATCATGTTTTTAAAAATTCCTGCACATCAACGGTGGCCACATTGCATTGTTTTAGCTCTAGGGCTAAAACGATTCATTGATTAAATCGATTCATAAAATACATCAACACAAATTCTTTGCATTGATGCTTCGTTTAATCCATGTAACTATACAGCACAGTGTTTCACAGGGACATTTATTACTGTCGCACATCGTGCTTACGCCCAAGCAAAAGTACTTCCTAAACGACGCATCGATGAATCTTTGAAATAATCTATAGAAGCTTCGAATACTAAAATCATCGTTAGCTGCAGCCCTACAACATACAATGCGCTTGTTAAACAGGTGTATTGATGACGTTCTGGCTTTTTACTCACTAAAGTTTTTACCTGCGGCCTCTCTGCTGGCCATTAAGTTGGCTCTGTGTTTGCGTCTATGTGGAGACGCTCATCCCTGACACAGAGAGCAGGGCAGAGGCTTCACCGTGATATGAAAGATGTAGGACACATACCATTAACATCACTGGACATGTGAGTATGTGCAGTTCTTAAGTATTTCTGTATTGTTTTTGTCTCTCTAGCAACTGTCGAAAAGAGGAGGGAGATCATCGTCAGGGCAACTGGTGTCTACCGCACAATAAACCACACAGTAAACCAACCACACTGTAAGTCACACAGTCTAACACGAGCAACCAAGGAAGAGTGAGCCTGAGAGCACTTCACTGGCTCAGCTTATGTGCCCCACTGATTGCCGCTGATCAGCTCCAGCTGCGGGATTTACGCAGCGCCAGGCTCAGGGCCCAGGTACACCTGCAGAAAAGAGACAAGCACAACCCACAGATCTCACGGGTCGTAACACAGCTGTTTGAATAACTGCTGCTACTAAACTTTCACATGATCAACAAAATCAATGTGCGACTAACGTTAATGATTTTCGCCCGCACACTGTGCAGCACGGTGGCACATAGCTAGCGTCCTCTCCTCCCTCACAGGACAGCTACGTGACAGGTGGCAGTAGGTGACGGTGAAAATGAGCAGAGGAAAATATGAGCGCTACGTTTCCGTCTGGCTGTAAATGTACAGTGTAGGTTACAGTTTGTCCGTTAATTAAAGTCTGTCTGTTCTCCAACTGCTGGAAAAGTGAAGGCAGTTAGCGACAGGTAACGTCTCCTCTTCAGACTGCGGTCTGGAAGCTTCATTGGTTTTCAGAATGGCTTCTTTCGCCACTTGCATAGCGTTGGACATTGCATCCAATTCTTTTGAGTTTGGCTATTTTCATGGAGCTCTGCTAGTTGTTTTTTCTCATATTGTCTAGCGTACCTTTGCAGTTGGAGATCTATTCCTTCCAGTTGTTGAATGACTGCATCCACGTCCACTTTGATTTCTTGGTCAGATATATCTGCTTGTTCTTGGCTGACGTCCATGCCCAGATTGTCAAAGAACTTCTCAGAAGGGACCGTTTCCTCGATGCAGCTCATTTTTCTTCTCTCTTAACGACTGTGTTAACCACCGCTTGTTTTTCTGGGCTCTGTACACGAAGCTCAGTTGTAAATGATTCATTAGACTGAGGAGCTGAAGTTTCAGAATGTGTTCACTCTGTGGCTTTGATCTTCAGAATGTGGAAGCAGGCAGTGACATCACTTTCCCCTCAGAACGGTGTTTATGACATCATCAACATTATGACATCGTCTAAATTCTGATCGATAAAGTACAGGAAGTGAGGGAACCTTTCACACAGCATGGTGTTTATGAAATGGTAAAAAGACAGAGGATCAAGTCTGAATCTACACATTTTTATACACAGAACATATCTTCCTGTTGTCCACGTCTTCTCGCATAAGAAGCAATCAGTCGCTCCCAAAATCTGGCAGCAATACTGTTTTTCCACTGTTTGAACACAAACATCCTCTCGCATTAACCCTTTCTGGTCTGCCCTGTCCAAACCTGGGCCAACGTCCCAGAGAAGTTCACACATCCTAGCAACTTTTTTGATGCAGCTGATAACATTAATATCTTGCAAGTATTGATTTATAATTTACTGGGGCTATGCTGAAGTTTGTCTGCAGAGGAGATGCTGGATCATCAGCCAGCACACAGCTGAAACACAGAAGTTTTTAGAAAGTCGCACAGACCCAGGTGAAATACAGGCAGCCTCAGCCAGTAAAAGCACAGCCAGAGATGTACAGGCAGCATCAGATACAAGCAGCTCAGACCGTAATGGAGGACTGAGTTAATGCTTAGCAAGGGAAGCTGGTGAGGCACATACTGACACATTTCATAAATCAAAAATTTAATGAGTGCATTGCAGTGTGAACGTAGCCTTTAAGTCCACGTGAGGAAAGTTCAAGACAGGATATTAGAGTCAAAATACGCAAACCTACGTAACTTCAATGAAAATAAAAAATAATATTGTCTTTGTATAAAGTTTCACACAGGAACCTGAACGGGCCTGAGGCTGGTCATGAGTGAGACAAAAAAATCTATAGACAGAGGGTGTGTGTATAGTCATTCATCTGCAACCAGGATTCAGTTAAAAACATAAAATCTAGATTTGCAGACAAGATAAAATCATTTAAGATAAAAGTCTTACTTGAAAGTGATCTCACATTGAAGAGAGCCATTTTAAATGAGTTTGTTCTGGGTGCTGGAGTTGGTGCAGTTGTCCTAATCCTTAAGAGATTACTAATATTTCTGTGTGGGATGTGCACATTTCGGTTTACTGGTCTAAGCGTAATGATGACACGAATAGAAGTCTTTGAACAGCGCTGGGAGCAGACGGCTTTACATGCCAGCAGGTGGAGACAGTTGTTTGTGGCAGTGAGGCAGAGATCTGTTCAGTGAGCGGTGGTGTGTCCAGGTGTGCTGCATGAATGATTAGTCATTCACGTAAGTCATGTGTGGACCGCACCAAATGCTGTATGTGTGCAGCTAACATTTCTGAGCCCCGTTTGTTTGGGTGAAGTCCGTCTGTCTTAAAAAAGAGACATTCTTTGCCAGAAAATATTAAAATTATCCACATAACACACACGGTGAGCCCTGCAGGCGGACTGGAGCCAGTCGTGGAGGCCAAGGAGTCTACTGAAGCGGCCAGCACCGCGACCAACTGTGGGAATGGGACCAGAGATAAAAACGGACTTTCCACACTGCTTTAAAAAGTTACAAAGACGGTTAAAATCTGATTTTGTCAGCTCAGACTGCCGAAGAGCTGTGTCATTTGTTCCAACATGGACCATCACTCTTGTGATGGAGGACAGGGAGCGACGGCATCAGGTCCTGGAGTTTTTTTTAAATGTCAGCCGTGGTGGCATCAGGGAAGCAGTGAGTGGTAGCGTTAAAGAAATGGAGGTTTCTGGTTATGGAGTCACCAATTATTAGTGTGGTTGGGGAGAAAAGAGGACGAGGAGATGCCGGTTGTGTGGTTCCAGAGCAGGACTGAGCAGAATCTGCTTCAACACTGCGTGCGGACTGAGGATGGAGTGTGTGAGCTGTTGAGTGTTGTGTTGGAGTAGCAGTAACAGACGGTGGTTGTCGTTAGACAGGGCTGCATAGCGGTTGGAGAGGCCGATGTCCGGAGGAGAGGCAGCCCCGTCCGAGCCTCTCTTAAAGCCACGGACCACCACTTCAGCCCAGGTTGACTGATGCTTCGGAGTCGAGCAGGATGAAAGCCTGGGAAGGCCAGAGGGGTCACATAACACGGTGTCCTGGATGTTGGCGGGAGAAACATCCATAAAGCCAGTCAGCAGGGAATTTTTCTCTTTGAGTTCCTCTGAAAGTCGTCGGATGTCTTCCATAAGGTCTAAGCAATCTTCTTGTTCACTTTCTTAAGGAGTGTGCAGTCCTCATGGGGCAGAGTTATATCGGCTAGCATAGTCACCGGAGCTTTGTTGCGATCAGTAGCGTTGATCGCGTTTTTACGGTCATCTAGCTTAAAATCCATGTCGGATGACTAAAATCTTTAACCCACATAAAACTTAAGTTAAAAACTTAAGTTAAATAAAAAGGATATAAAAAAGGTAACAAAAAAGAGTGGATTAAAACTGGATAAGAGTTCGGTTTAAGACGGAGCTTCCGACAGGTGGCTACAGACGCCAACGCATGCGCAGAGTGCAGATTACGTCGGCAATTACTTCAGCGATCTTGTGACAAGATGATGCAAGGTGTATGTATATGGTTTGGCCTGACAGTCTCCATCACAAAAACCTTTATAACCATAAACACAGATCTTCCTTTAGTTCTTGCTCCACATCTCATTGGAAATAAATGGTGGGACCCGAGTGATGCAGACAGAAAGCGCCGCCAGCAGGGAGGCCAGAACAAACTACTGTGGTGCTGGGCTGCGGCACCACCCTCACCCCATGCTTTAGAGACAGGGGCGGCTTCTCTGAGGACCACTTCCCCTCCAACAAACACAGCTTACTGTCAACCAAAAACACCCAAACACACACAGTAAACACAGTAGGAGGAAAAAAGGAAGTCTCACTCACAAACTCTCAGCCACACTCACCAACACCAGACTCCCAGCATGCACAGAGAGAGAGAGAGGTACAAAACACAGAGGGCTAGAGAGATGCAGCGGTTGTGTAAAAGATTACAGTATCCGTAGAGTCATCCGGACAAACAAGGACTGTAAGTACAAGGATGGAAGGAAAATGGTAACAGGGACAAGGCCTGAAGAAAACCTCCTGTGTTTCTGATGTTTATCTGGTCATTAAAGGGTCAAACCTCCAGAGCTCTGCTGCTGTTTTTAACCACATTCTCACAGAAACACTTCCTCTTCAGATCTCTGAACAAAAATATCTGCAAAGATAAAATGAGGAACCAGCAGATCTCAGAGCAGTAAAATATCATCTTATCTGTGTTCTTCAGCAGCTGCTACAGTATCACCATATTGCACCATGGACATCAGGAGTCAGATTCTGGTGGGAGAGGAGTTTGACTCTTCACCTGTCTGTTCATGTGTGCTGTCAAACATCACCATGGATCCTCTCTGTTTTCTAATAAACACTATCTGAAGAAAACAAGTTGCATCATTTCGAACATTTACCTTAACTAACAATTTTCTCACGTTCAGCTTCCTCTTCTTCTTCTTTTCGCTTGGTGAAACACGTCATTGTCACAAATAGACCTGAATGAACAAAGTGTGAACTCTGATGGCTGCATCTCATGTTGCTGATCAAGAATTTGGGGTCTCTGTCAGTCACTGTGGATGAGAGAAAACTACATTTCTAAAATGTAAAAGCCTCTAAAAATTGTAAAAATTGTAACAGAGTTTTTGGCTGTTTGGACATCAATAAGAAATTCAGAGAGACTGAAATCTAAAACAGACTAAAAGTCACCATGATGAAGTGACATCATCCTAACCACAGGAAGTAGCTGCTGCGTCTCTCTACTAAAGCACTAGTTTAGAAACTCAGACAGTTCTGAGCACGAGAACAAGAGACAGAAGAAGGAGAGACTCAGAGAATCATGATGGTTGAGTTCAAATGGATTTCTTTATTTCTTCCAGCGGTGCTTCAGTTTACAGGTAAGAATACATATATCACATATATAAATGGAAGGCACATTGTAAAAAATAACTTGATCAATATTATTAAAGATTCTTTATTAGCTACATTTGATTTAACTAAGAAAACCAAATCTGTTGTTTCTAATGTGGTGAGTTTAGTGAACTCTTGGAAACTAAGGATAAAGAAATAATCGTCACTAACTATGAACATAACAGACATTTTCTCATTTCACTTTATTTTTCATCATTTTCTCCACAGCAGCAGCTGGAAAACTTCCCCTCTCCTTCACTGTCAGAGTTGGAGATGACGTCACTTTGCCTTGTGAAAATGTGATAGACGGTCAGAAAAAATGTGAAAATACTACATGGCTCTTTGATGGTTCAGGAAGCAGATCAGCAGTAGCGCTGGTTAAACTTGGGCAGATTCACAAAGACGCCAAAGCTAAATCAGACAGACTGAGTGTTCCAGAGAACTGTTCTCTGGTTATAAAGAAGGTCACAGTCGAGGATGTTGGTCGTTACACCTGCAGACAGTTGATATCAGGACAACAAGCTCCAGACTCTCCGGTTCTTCTGTCTGTTATTACCAGTGAGTATTTCCATCATAATGTTTTCAGCTCAAACTGTCTTGTTAGAACAATATACTGAAACATTACAATAATTATGATCACAGTGATGAAGTTAACTTTACTCTTGTTGTCTTTCTCTCACAATATCTCCATCTTCACCAGTGACTGAACAAAAGGACGCTGATAAGGTGACGTTAACCTGTTCTGTGTCGACACGTGAACAGTTCTGTAGTCACACAGTGAAGTGGCTGTATGAGGGTAAAGATGTGGACAAAGATAACAAAGACATGAAGACATCACAGTCTGTCTGCTACGCCGCTGTGTCTTTCCCGGATTCTAATTTTAGTAACAAATCAAAGTCTAACTTGAAGTGTGAAGTGACAGATGGTTACTCTGGAAAAGTGCAGCTGTTCACCTTCAGCCCTCAGTCCTCAGGTGAGAAAACAGGTGAGAATATGCTGAGCTGGTGTGCGTTTCCCGAACAACCACGTAAGGTAACGTTGAACTATGTTGGTACGATGCATCGTTACACAAACAAACATCTGAAATACGACCGTTTCCCTAAACTGTCATACTTTGAACTAACTTAGTTTGAGCCAACGTAGGTCGAACTAACATGTTTCCAGGTGTGTTCGTCTGACTTTCACAGCACGAAACTCACAAAACGTCATATTCTGCCTAAATATGTCAGTTGTGACCGATATTAAGTGACATTATTTTGCTAACTTATTATTTAGGCTTTTTATATTATTGTCGTACCGGCAACAACAAGAAAATCAACAATAGCATTAATGAAATCAACAATATAAATAATATATAACCTAATCATTTTATTTAGCCTAAATATCGGCTATAACTTAGAAGAAAAAATGAAGAACTATTAGCGATTACAAGACATTTAGTGAAATAGGTTTAGTATCTTTGTGTCAACACTGTAACACTATTATGAATCTCTTGGCATCTGACATCTAGGTTTTGAGAACAGCTCAGTGCGCTAAGTGTCTGAGCTTACGCATGTT